GTTGCTGCCTGCTGGTGTTGCTGCCTGCTTGTGTTGTTGTGTACTAGTGTTGCTGCCTTCTGGTGTTGCTGCCTGCTTGTGTTGCTGCCTGCTGGTGTTGCTGCCTGCTAGTGTTGTTGCCTGCTGGTGTTGCTGCCTGCTAGTGTTGTTGCCTGCTGGTGTTGCTGCCTGCTGGTTGTTGCTGCCTGCTGGTGTTGCTGCCTGCTGGTGTTGCTGCCTGCTGGTAATGCTGTTTACTGGTAATGCTGTTTACTGGTGTTGCTGCCTGCTAGTGTTGCTGCCTGCTGGTGTTGCTGCCTGCTAGTGTTGTTGCCTGCTGGTGTTGCTGCCTGCTTGTGTTGCTGCCTGCTGGTGTTGCTGTGAATGCTGGTGTTGCTGCCTGCCTGGTGTTGCTGCCTGCTGGTGTTGCTGGCCGGCTAGTGTTGCTGGCCTGATGGTGTTGTGGCTGCCTAGATTAGCTGGTTTGCTGCCTGCTGGTGCAAGCTCTTATTTCGAGTCACACCGACTGAACTTGAAGTGGTCCAGGGAACTAGAAATGATCCAGGGAACTAGAAGTCGCCCAGGGAACTAGAAATGATCCAGGGAACTAGAAATGACCCAGGGAACTAGAAATGACCCAGGGAACTAGAAGTGACCCAGGGAACTAGAAGTGGCCCAGGGAACTAGAAATGGCCCTGGGAACTAGAAATGACCCAGGGAACTAGAAATGACCCAGGGAACTAGAAGTGGCCCAGGGGAACTAGTAAATGACCAGTGGAACTAGAAATGACCCAGGGAAACTAGATTATCCCAGGGATCTAGTATGACCCAGGGAACTAGAAATGACCCAGGGAACTAGAAATGACCCAGGGAACTAGAAATGACCCAGGGAACTAGAAATGACCCCAGGAACTAGAAGTGGCCCAGGGAACTAGAAGTGGCCCAGGGAACTAGAAGTGACCCAGAGGAACTAGAGAGTGACCCAGGGAACTAGAAATGGCCCATTGAACTAGAAGTGGCCCAGGGAACTAGAAATGGCCCAGGGAACGAGAAATGGCCCAGGGAACTAGAAGTGGCCCTGGGAACTAGAAATGGCCCAGGGAACTAGAAGTGGCCCAGGGAACTAGAAGTTGGCCCAGGGAACTAGAAGTAGGCCCAGGGAAGGAGAAGTGGCCTAGGGAATGAAATGGCCTCTGGAACTAGAAATGGTCACAGGGAAACTAGAAATGACCCAGGAACTAGAAGTGGCCCAGGTGAACTAGAAGTGGCTTAGGGAATAGAAATGGCCCATGGGAACTAGAAATGGCCCCAGGGAAACTGGAAGTGGCCCGGAAACTAGGAAACTGGCACCCAGGGAACTAGGAGTGGACCCAGGCGAACTAGAATGGCCCGTGAACTCGAAATGGCCCAGGGAACTAGAAATGGCCTATGGAACTAGAAATGACCCAGGGAATTAGAAATGGCTCAGGGAACTACAAATGGCCCAGTTAACTGAAGTGGACCAAGCGAACTAGAAGTGGCCCAGGGAACTAGAAATCGGGCCCAAGGGAACTAGAAATGGGACCCAGGCAACTAGAAATGGCCCAGGGAACTAGAAATGGCCCATGGAACTTAGAAAAATTATTAGTGGCCCAGGGAACTTGAAGTGGTCCATGGAACTAGAAATGGCCCAGGGAGCTAGAAGTGGCCCCCCAGGGAGCTAGAAGTGGCCCAGGGAACTAGAAATGGCCCAGGGAACTAGAGGTGACCCAGGGAACTAAAAGTGACCCAGGGAACTAGAAGTGGCCAAGGGAACTAGAAGTGGCCCAGGGAACTAGAGGTGGCCCAGGGAACTAGAAGTGACCAAGGGAACTAGAAGTGGCCAAGGGAACTAGAAGTGGCCCAGGGAGCTAGTAGTGTCCCAGGGAACTAGAAGTGGCCCAGGGAACTAGAAGTGGCCCAAAGTACTAGTAGTGACCCAGGGAACTAGAAGTGGCCCAGGGAACTAGAAGTGTCCCAGGGAACTAGAAATGGCCCAGGGAACTAGAAATGGCCCAGGGAACTAGAGGTGGCCCAGGGAACTAGAAAGTGTCCCAGTGGAACTAGAAGTGGGAACAGGGAACTCATGAAGGGCGCCCAGGGGACTAGAAGTGGACCTAGGGAATCATTACGATGTGGCCCAGGGAACTAGAAGTGGCCAGGGAACTTGAAGTGGACCCAGGACTTGAAAGTGTGATCCAGTGAACTAGAAGTGGCCCAGGGGGAAACTAAAAGCTGGCCCAGGGAAGACCCAAGGGATCTAGAAGTGGCCCAGGGAAACTAGAAAGTGGCCAGGGAAATAGCAAGTGGCCACACCCCCCGGCCCGGAACTAGAAATGGCCCAGGGAACTAGATATGGTCCCAGGGAAACTAGAATTGGGCCAAGCCGGAAATAGAAGTGGGCCCAGGGAACTAGAAGTGGCCCAGGAAAACTATAAATGGCCCAGGGAACTAGAAATGGCCCCAGGGAACTAGAAATGGAACCAAGGGAACTAGATCAGTGGACCACAGGGCGAACTAGAAGTGGTCCATTGGAACTAGAAATGACCCAGGGATGCCTAGAAGTGGACCAGGGAACTATAGGTGGCCCAGGGAACTAGAAGTGACCCAGGGAACTAGAATTGGCCCTTTGAACTAGAAGTGGCCCAGGGAACTAGTAGTGTCCCAGGGAACTAGAAGTGGCCAAGGAACTAGGGATGGCCAGGGAACTTAGAAGTGGCCAGGGAACTAGTAGGGACCCAGGGAACTAGAACGTGTCCAGGGAACTAGAAGTGGCCCAGGGAACTAGAAATGGCCCAGGGAACTAGAAATGGCCCAGGGAACTAGAGGTGGCCCAGGGAACTAGAAGTGTCCCAGGGAACTGTGTGGCCCAGGGGAAGTAGAAGGCGGACCAGGGAAGTTAGAGTGGCCCAGGGAATCTAGGAAAGGTGGGGGCCACAGGGAACTAGAAGTGGCCCCAGGAACTTGAAGTGGCCCAGGGGGAATAGAAGTGATTCCAGTGAACTAGAAGTCTCCCAGGGAACTAGAAGTTGGACCCAAGGGAACTAGAAGTGGCCCAGGGAAACTAGAGAAAGTGGCCCAGGGAAACTAGAAAGTTGGCCCAGGGAAACTAGGAGAAGTGCGTCCAGGGAACTAGAAATGGCCCAGGGAACAAGAAGTGGCCCAGGGAACTAGAAATGGCCCAGGGAATTAGAAGTGGCCCAGGGAACTAGAAGTGGCCCAGGGAACTAGAAGTGGTCCAGGGAACTAGAAGTGGCCCAGGGAACTAGAAGTGGCCCAGGGAACTAGAAGTGGCCCAGGGAACTAGAAGTGGCCCAGGGAACTAGAAGTGGTCCTGGGAACTAGAAGTGGCCCAGGGAACTAGAAGTGGCCCAGGGAACTAGAAGTGGCCCAGGGAACTAGAAGTGGCCCAGGGAACTAGAAGTGGCCCAGGGAACTAGAAGTGGCCCAGGGAAACTAGAAGTGGCCCAGGGAACTCTAGAAGTGCGTCCTGGGGAAAATAAGAAGTGGCCATCAGGGAAATAGAAGTGGCACCAGGGAACTAGAAGTGGCCAGGGAATCTAGAAGTGGCCCCAGGGACACTAGATTGTGGCCCAGGGAACATAGAAGTGCACAGAGGATCTAGAAGAGACGTCCTGCGGAACTAGAAAGTGGCCCCCAGGGATACTATGAAGTGGCCCAGGGAACTAGAAAAGTGGCCCAGGGAACTAGAAGTGGCCCAGGGAACTAGAAGTGGTCCTGGGAACTAGAAGTGGCCCAGGGAACTAGAAGTGGCCCAGGGAACTAGAAGTGGTCCTGGGAACTAGAAGTGGCCCAGGGAACTAGAAGAAGTGGCCCAGGGAACTAGAAGTGGCCCAGGGAACTAGAAGTGGCCCAGGGAACTAGAAGTGGCCCAGGGAACTAGAAGTGGCCCAGGGAACTAGAAGTGGCCCAGGGAACTAGAAGTGGCCCAGGGAACTAGAAGTGGCCCAGGGAACTAGAAGCGGCCCAGGGAACTAGAAGTGGTCCTGGGAACTAGAAGTGGCCCAGGGAACTAGATGTGGTTCCTGGAACTAGAAGTGGCCCAGGGAACTAGAAGTGGTCCTGGGAACTAGAAGTGGCCCAGGGAACTAGAAGCGGCCCAGGGAACTAGAAGTGGTCCTGGGAACTAGAAGTGGCCCAGGGAACTAGAAGTGGTCCTGGGAACTAGAAGTGGCCCAGGGAACTAGAAGCGGCCCAGGGAACTAGGAAGCGGCCCTGGGAACTAGAAGTCGGTCCTGGCGTAACTAGGATGTGGCCCAGGGAAACTATGAAGCGGCCCAGGGATCTAGAAGTGGTTCCGGGACTAGAAGTGGCCCAGGGGAACTAGAAGCGGCCCAGGAATAGAACGGTGGTCCTGGGAACTAGAAGTGGCCCAGGGAACTAGAAGCGGCCCAGGGAACTAGAAGTGGTCCTGGGAACTAGAAGTGGCCCAGGGAACTAGAAGTGGTTCCTGGGATCATAGATAGTGGCCCTGGGTCCCAGGGAACTTAGAAGCGGCCCAGGGAACTAGAAGTGGTCCTGGGAACTAGAAGTGGCCCAGGGAACTAGAAGTGGTCCTGGGAACTAGAAGTGGCCCAGGGAACTAGAAGCGGCCCAGGGAACTAGAAGCGGCCCAGGGAACTAGAAGTGGTCCTGGGAACTAGAAGTGGCCCAGGGGATACTAGAATGGTCTTGGGAACATAGTACTAGTGGACCCATACATTGTTTTTAATAACTGCTCCTTGTGTGATTTCTAGTCGCCTCAGTAACATTTAGAATGTTTACTCATGGGATCCCCAGTTATCTCTTGGGCATCCCAAGTGTATCATGGGCATCCCATCGTGACTCAATGGCATCCCAGTTACTCAATGGCATCCCAGTTATCATTGGGCATCCCAAAGTGATCATGGGCTTCCCAGTTACTCATGGGCATCCCAAGTGACTCATGGGCATCCCAAGTGACTCATGGGCATCCCAGTTACTCATGGGCATCCCAGTTACTCATGGGCATCCCAAGTGACTCATGGGCATCCCAGTTACTCATGGGCATTCACAGTATAATATTGGCATTCCAGTTTTACTCCATGGGCGTCCCAGTTTATCATGGGCATCCCAGTTACTCATTGGAATTCCCATTACTAATTGGCATTCCCAGTTACTTCATTGGCATCCCAGTTACTCATGGACATCCCAGTTACTCATGGGCATCCCAGTTACTCATGGGCATCCCAATTACTCATTGGCATCCCAGTTACTAATGGGCATCCCAGTTACTCATTGGCATCCCAGTTACTCATTGGCATCCCAGTTAATCATTGGGCATTCCCAGTTAATTCTATTGGCTTCACAGTTACTCATGGGCATCCCAGTTTAATCATGGGCATACTCAGTTACTCATTAGGGCATCCAGTTACTCATGGGCATCCCAATTAATCTTTGGACAATCCCAGGTTTCTCATTGGATCACCCAGTTACTCATTGGCATCCAGTTACTCATTGGCATCCCAGTTACTCATTGGCATCCCAGTTACTCATTGGCATCCCAGTTACTCATTGGCATCCCAGTTACTCATTGGCATCCCAATTACTCATTGGCATCCCAATTACTCATTGGCATCCCAGTTACTCATGGGCATCCCAGTTACTCATTGGCATCCCAGTTACTCATTGGCATCCCAGTTACTCATTGGCATCCCAGTTACTCATTGGCATCCCAGTTACTCATGGGCATCCCAGTTACTCATGGGCATCTCAGTTACTCATTGGAACATCACAGTTACTCAATGGGCATCCCAATCTACTCTCTTGACGCATCCCAGCTTTAATCATGGACATCCCGTTATCATTGGTGATTGTAACTCAGTTACTCATTGGCATCCAGTTACTTCACTGGACTCCCAGTTACTCATTGGCCTCTCAGTTACTTCATTGGCATCCATTTACTCACTGGGGTTCCAATTAATCTTTGCAACCCAGGTACTCAATTGGCTTCCCAGTTACTCTTTGGGCATCCCAGTTTACTCATTGGCACCCAGTTACTCATTGGCACATCCAGTTACTCATGGGCCATCCCAGTTACTCATTGGCATCCCAGTTAAACTCATTGGAATCCCAGTTTTACTCCTTTGGAATCCCATGTTACTCATTGGCTTCCACA